TAATGAGTGAGATGTTTTTTCATTGAAATAGTAAGTGTTGGTGGACATGTGCTTACATTTTGTAGGAATTAAGTATTCAATTAACAGACTGAAAAATTGGCTTAATTTTTGCAACTTAATTTGTGTGTGTGTGTGCGCTTTTTTTGAGGGTAAATATAACCTTGACATTTCTTTGTTCTCTCAACCAGGGTTATTATAGTTATATTTAGGGATGTAACGATTCACTCAACTCACGATTCAATTCGATTCACGATTTTTTTTTAAGAAAATGAGATTTAAGACAAATTATAAATTAAATGTCCTTTTATTATTGCTCGGACAAAATGCTGCACGTTTCTTTCTGAAATTGAAATATAACACTATAATAATATACTAACGTAGCACTTGCATATTATTGTTCTTTTGTTGGTTTTGATTGCTTCTATTGTCCTCATTTGTAAGTCGCTTTGGATAAAAGCGTCTGCTAAATGACTAAATTTAAATATAATGTAAATGTAAATAACAAAACTAAATTGAAATTTTAAAACAAGCCCCAAATCAAATAAATAAGTAACACAAATCAAATAAATCTCCTCATATAAACAAAATAAGGCTTTGTCTGTGCACTTTCCTTTTAAAATTAGAGGCAACCACTGCATTTTAATCACGATCCAAACAAAGATGCTGCATACATGCAACATGAGCAGTTTTTAATCTAAATTACATTGTATAATTTCGAAATTTGAAGCAAAAACAGAATGGTTTGATTTCAGTTTTGTGAAACTATACATAAAAAATATCTGCATGAAACAGAAACAGCAGACGAGCTGAACGAGACGCAGATTCACTCTCTGCCAGCAGGTGGCGCTGAAAGCGTTTCCACTGTAAACAAAGCAGCGCTGCACTTATAAACTTTAATATGCATTATACAGAGGCAAGATGAAAATAAAAAAATACCATCTAAACTTTTCTAAAGACAGTAATTTCAACTCAGACATGCATTCATATAAACTCCTACCCCTAATTGAATTGCGATTTGTTTAGCATCTCAACCGATATGAATCGTCACATATTTGAATAGATTTTCAACCGGATCGCGGTTAATCGTTAAATCCCTAAATTATGAAGAGATTTATTTTATTTGTGTTTTTTTCATTTTTATTTCTATTTCATTTTTGGTTTTGATTCAATGTTTTAAATTCATTTAATTTCACTTCGTTTTATTTTTTTTCCACTTAGAGTTCTTTTTTGATAGCATGTATCAAAAGTTTTACAAATGTTATTTTAAAAAATTACTTTTATTTTACATTCCGGAGTCATTTTCCTGGTTAGGTGTTTTAATTGGTTAACAAGCACGTTTTCACTTATGTTTAGTTTTATGTTAAAGGGATAGTTCACCTCAAAAATTTATATTTTGTCATCATTTCCTCACCCTCATGTCGTTCCAAACCAGTACAATTTTCTATCTTATGTTGAACACAAAAGAAGATATTTTAAAGAATTTTGAAAAACCAAACAGCTGTTGGTTCCTGTAGACCAATTTGGAGTAGACGTCACAGTTACGTCACTTGCAGCTGTGCACGCATTGTGGTGGCAGAAAAACACCGGGAAGAAGTGGAGGGAAACGGGTAAAATCCATGGAATAAGAGAAAAAATGTATTGTTGTGCTTTTGGATGTCAGAATCAGAATGCAAATCATTTTTATAGAATAATGTCATCAAAGACGCCATTTGAAGCTAAACGCAGACGTTTAAACGGACAAACTATGGATGAAACCTGCTACGATTACCCTACTTTTAAAGCATAAATTTGATTTAAACAATAGGTCTATATAATATTCACATAGGGGACATATTGTATTAGCCCTACAGTTAAAGCATGAAATACTATTTGAACATAACATTTTACATTACATTTAGCCTACCTATTTTATCTCACAATTCTGACTTTTTTTTTCTCACAAATGCAAGTTTAAATCTCCTAGTTCGGACTTTATAACTTGATTTACCTCAACAATTGCGAGTTTGCCAATTCTGAGGGAAAAAAAGCCGGAAGTGTGGGATATAAGTTGATTTTTTTCTTATCAGAATTGTGAGATATAATCTCGGAATTGCAAGAAAAAAGTCAGAATTTTGAAATAAAATTCTTTCATTCCACGAATTGCATAGACTGCTACGTTAAAACGGGCATTTTCTGCCACCAAATAGACTCCGCCCACAAAAACGTCATCACTGTTTGCAAACACTGAAATTGGTCTACTGACTTCAATAGTACTGAAAGAAGTACTATGGAAGTCAATGGGGGACCATCAACTGTTTGATTACCAGCATTCTTCAAAATATCTTCTTTCATGTTTACCATAAAAAAGAAAATCATACAGGTTTGGAACGACGTGAGGGTGAGGAAATGACGACAAAATGTTCATTTTTTTAAGGTGAACTGTTCCTTTAAGTGCAGTAACGCTGCACCCAGCTTTGATTACTTTGTAAGAAAGGTTTGCTCTGAACAAGTTTGTGTATTCTTTGTGTTCTACAGAAAGATAACAACGCTATCATATTTTTGTGACAGGTACGACACACAACAGTCCTGAAAGACCTCACCTACTGCCTGTCCGAGGGCTCAATGAGATCTTCATTGGGGAGTCCCTGTCCTCCAGGTATATGTCCCTGCCCACCATTCTGTGACGACGTGGAACCAGTCTTACCCCTCGAACATTTCATCAACCACATGTCCTCCTTCACTCCATGCATCCCCCCATCTCCCCTTACTTGTGGATTTCTGTTTGCCACAGGTTGAAGTATAAATCCTTCAAACCCCATATTACCCTCTCGCTTCATAGGGCTTCATACTACGAAATCTCCATCGACGACGGGCCGTGGGAGAAGCAGAAGAGCTCAGGGCTTAGCATTTGCACTGGAACCGGATCTAAAGCCTGGTGAGTCAGAGCGCTGCTTTAAAGAAAAGTGATCTTACAACACCTCATAAAAATGTCAAGAGATTACCAAATTATTTTTGTTCCTTCGTCCAGGTCCTACAATATTAATAAGCTTGTCGAGCAGGCAGTGGAGGATGTCCTCAGAATAGGTTAGAAACACAAAAACAAAAGTTATATATGTTAAATATATTCTGCATTACTTATGTTCTATGACAGAACAGTTTATAATCGTCAGCTACTACAAGCCTGATCTTCATCTTTTCTGTATCTTAGGTAAATTAAAAACAGGTTTGAATGTTCCTCTAAATCGGGAGTTCATTGAGAGTGGTGAGTTTAAAATACAATATCTTTTTTTTTTTTTTGTACAAGTATTAATAATCAGCTCATTAGTATTTACAAATGGCTTTTTTGTTCTTTTTAAATTAAAAAAAATTATATTCTGCGATTTAAATAACTGTTCCCTATTCTTGTGTTCAGTGATTGAAATAGATCATTTGTATTTTAAAATAACCTTTTTTTTATTATTTACATTTTTATCTGCAATTTAAACAGTTGGCTCCTATTTTGTGTTCAGTGGCTGAAATATATCATTTGTATTTTAAAATGACTGTCATTTTTTTGTAATTCATACAATTAATATTCTGCATTTTAAATAATTGGCCTGTTTTTGTGTGCAGTGACTGAAATATATTGTTTGTATTTTAAAATGACTTTTCATTGTTTTAATTCTGCTTAAATGTATAAAATTATATTAATAATATTAATATTCTGTACATTAAATAATTGGTCCATATTTTGTGTTCAGTGACTGAAACATACAACGAATCCCTGATCTTCAGCCCAGAGGAGGACAAACTTTTCTTCAGTATAAGAGAGCCGATAGTCAACAGAGTATTTTCCAATAGCCAACAAAGAGGTTTTGCCAAAAAGTGAGTTTTAATTTCCATCGTGGTAAATGATTGGATAAGTAATAATAATGTAATGTTAATCTTGGTTTATAAAAACATTTTAAATTGTACAAACATGAACATTTTTAGACATAAATGCTGTAAAAAGGTTGCTTACTGTTAGTTCATAATATCTAATGCATTAACTATTTCTCCATGTTTTTGATCAAACAAGGCTGCAAGCTGAAAACTGATGAAAAGTGCTGTGCTCTTCTTGTTTTTGGTAGGGTTTGTGTCCGCTCAAGGTGTTGGGATGCCTGCATGGTGGTGGATGGTGGGACGTCCTTCCAGTTTAATGATGGTGCCATTGCTACAATCAGCTTAAATGAGGAGGACCTGTTGCGAACGGTCATTCTTGATTAAATCCTTTGATACATCAAACTCTTTATTTATTGAGGACTGAATGATTGTCTTTAAAGCCAGACTTTGATGGACAGCAGGTTCTTTAAGCACTGAATTTTAAGGGATGATGGGGTTTGCAGAGGAAATGTACGGTGTACTGGTATATATATTAGGATTTCACACTTCTGTAGTCTGTGCTTATTTAACCACTTAAGCTCGGGGCGTTTTTTGGTATTTTCGCCTAAATTTAACATACTCTAAACATTTTTAACGTCATTTTGGACCCGTATCCGGGTCCGCAGTGTTTAACTGGTTTTAAACGACCTTCTTGGTTGCAGCCTTCAGAAATAACAAACACTTTTCCCCCAGATACACCAGCATTATAGTGTGTCATCTGTTGGTGTATAATGTTCTAGAAATGTGATGCAGATTCATGCTTAAGCACATGTACTCAAACTTTTTTTGATTACTTTTGTGCCAAACATGCACAGAAGTATTTTGTAAATGTAGAAATCAAACATTTCTGAAACTGCAACCTGAAAAATATTTGATATTTTAATGTTTTTGAAGTACACAATAGGGCAAAAGTTTGGATGTGGAGTCAAACTCTACTCCATCAGGTCAAAACATTGTGCAGGCAGTGGTTTAAAACATGCCAGAAATTTGGAAAACCATTCTCAGGAACTTTGGTTGTTTAAAATGTCTGCATTCTTTTTTTTTTTGTAACATTTAGATTTGTTTGGTGAGTAGCATTTTGTGACATCAACACCACAATGTAAAGAATATAATACGGGAATGGAAAAACTCACATGGGGATGGCTTTAAATAAAACAATACATTTATTTACAATTCAGACAATGTAAACAATTCATTAAAAAAACATGTCTAGCGACAACCGAAGTTGTACAAAATTCAAGTTTTCCAATATTAAAACTGGTTAGAAAAATGGAAGAGGTTCACATTAATTTCTCTGCTATAAAAGCACCTGGTTTAATGCTTTTGTATGGCCAAAGAATTTGGGAACAATATAAAATAACAATGGTTTTATTCTTATTACTAACTTTGATAAACCTCTATAGTAAAACTGGAAATGTACTTGATCATGGCAGGAAAACAGATCTTGCGTGACAAACAGAACCTACCATTATTATTCTAGTTTTCATCTGAAGTAACAAACATTTAGTTAAACTCACCATTTTCAACATGATTAGCTATTGGTACGAAACATTTCAAATTATATATATCAAAATATATCACTAACCAGCCTGTCCACTCTTCATCTCTTATTTTGTGATCTTTGCTGCAACGTAACAAGAACGCCACTCCATTCAAGATTGTCAGGACCTCCAACACAATTGTCATCTTCACAACATTGAAACTAACAATTTAAAACGAGGACTTACCAGTGATGTTTAAGATATTTTTTAAACTCACAAATAATTCTAAATGGGCACAATTGAGAGAGAGATATGGACTATTATAAAAGCTATTTTACAATTTGGTTTACCCTGTAATCATCCTGAATTAAAAACATCAATGTTTGTACACGAGGCGGCAGTGCATTCCCCAAAGTGTGCGATCCTTTCTTGATGCCGAGGTGGGACGTGCCACAGTGGAGAAAGGCTGTGTGTTGATCTGTATGTGCGGTAGACCTTTACAAAGAATGGGCAGGTAGCTGTCCTGTATAAGCCCGAAGACCTCCAGGGTCTGCACATTTAGAAACTTTTCAAAATCACTGTAGAGAAAAAGAGAAGGAATATTTAGGGTCTTGTATGCAGACACTATATACAGACACAAAAGTGTTGATGTTTGTCTTGTCTTTCTGAATTCAACCACTCTCTTACATGAGTGAAGCTGGGTGGATCTGATAACAGCGGCTCAGTGCCAGATGTCTCAAGGAGGAAAGTTGCTGCAGGACTGGGAAACTGTCTGTTGTCACAAGCACGCTATCACTGTAATGATAAAAACACATAATTGAATGTGAACCTCCTGCTGTTTGCTATTAGGCATCTGATCCACAATCATCTTTTGAGTTAGGAACTTACCTCAAATCTAGATTTGTGAGGTTTGGACATCTATTTACTATAGCTTTAACATCTGAAACACACACCAAAAAAAGAAACTGTTGGTGCATGAAATGGTTACAAATGCATTTACATAAATCTGAATTCCTTGCTTTCCTTACCTTCCATTGTGAGGTTTTGTCTGTAACCACTGATGTTCAGTTGAGTGATGCTGGAGGGAACGTTGTTAGCAATAGCTTGAACATGGAGATTATTGAAGTCACACCATGACACATTCATTTCTTCAATTCTGGGGAAAGAAAGAAAATTATAGGCTTCAAAGGGTGTCATCATATGATTAATATTATTTTCTTTGATCTATGGAGGTAAAACACTTGATGTACTATGAAAAGATACAGTCTCACTTTATATTAAGTGTCTTTACAACATACTCGCCTTAAATAAAATACATTTTCAGTACAATGTACTTGTCATGAAACATGAACTTCTTTCATGAACACCAGATTCAATGACTTTTTAAAGCCCCATTTATTTTTTATCAAGCACCTATCAAATTCACACCCCAGAATATGTAGTGTCATGAAAGACCTTACAGTACTTAACATTTACATTAAAAATTGCAGAGTAATAATGTTTTGAATGTGTAGGTTTCATAAATTTAGACCGTTTTGAGCAGTTGTGTTCAAAGGACTTTAATAAAATCCATTGAAGTCAGTACTGGTGATAAATAAAATAATTTCTAAAATATTGATAAAATATGCATCAAACTGATTTTTGCTGTAGAAAATGAATAGTAGTTATTAAGATTGATGTGGTTTGGAATTGGTAAAATGTGCTTGGGAAAAAATATGATCAGAATATCAACGTGCCTAATAATTATGCACACACTGTAAGATATGCTCCCTTTTACACAGAGTGCGCGTGATCGCGAAATCGAAAGTGAACAGCAAGCGCTCATTCAAATGCGATTTCAATACCCCGCATATTGATAGCTGCTCCCTGATGTGCGAAAATAATATACAATATTAGATTTAAAATCTTTTGACTCAATTTTTCCTCAGCCAAACCCCATTCCACAGCCATACTTGTCACACACACACAGTTTAAAAGCATTTCTTCTTCTTCTTGTAATTAGGAGCGCTTGTCCTCCTAATTTAAAATAATAAAAAAACAATAATAAAAAATGTATTTGTACAGAGGTGGCACAGAAGACCACAAAAGTGGCTTGTAGGTACATTTTCAGACGTTTAATGAGGTGGCAATAAGCTTTTTAAAATTTCTATTTAAAACAATATAATAATAAGTATAATAAGACAAATAGGTTAGTGAGGTTACCAATCATATGAAATTAGTATTAATAAAAAATTAATGGCACAGAAGAACACAAAAGTGGCTTGTAGATACATTTTCAGACGTTTAATGAGGCTCAGAGGTGGCATGAGTGCAATTAAATTCATACATTTATGTGGAGATTAATGTTTTAAATATAAAATTTTGAATACAGAAATATTAAATGATTTAAATAACTGAAATAATCAATATCACGTTGGCAAACTCCCTTAATAATTATTAAAAGCTGTCACTCTCCTTATCGCGATCTTTGGGCGCACAGAAAATGATAGCGTGCGAGTGAGTTCTCAAGACTCAAAAGCACGTGCAAATGATACGTTCCGTCATCTGTCATCGCGTTATAAGCGTGGAACCTGCGGGAATGAGTACAATTGTTATTAATAGCCGCAATCCCGCGCCGAAATTCAAGTCCTGCTCTGTGTTCTCTGCTAATAACCCGACTGTGAATGATGCAAGTGGCATCCCTATGTTGTCACTTAGAAGCTGCAGCCGTGGCCGGGAATGATTTTTGGTGTGCCGGCAGAACAACAACAACAATGCGCTACATGTTTTTTTTCCCCAATTGACGGAAATCCATCGTAGCGACGGAAAACTTTAATCCCTGCATAAACAAAATGTATTTCAAATTTAATTCAAGCACTTTCAAGGACCTATGTTTGTTTTCAAGTACTTTCCAGGCCTTGAATCCATATGTCTGAAATTCAAGTACTTTCAAGTACTTTCAAGATGCGTGGGAACCCTGTATAGTAAACATGACCATATACAATTAGACACATGTTGTATTGTATAACACTTTTGCCGCTATAGAGGTAGGATGCATTTACAGAAATTAATTACATGTAACTGCATGCAGATATTTAAAAATATAGTAATAGTGTGTAAAAACATACACAGTAAGTGCCCTCTATCAAATAATTGTGACTACACAGTACTTTAAAACAACTAGTTCTGACATTTTTGATGATGAATACATGCTCATCAAGTATTATATTTAAAAATATTAGTTGTCTTTGGATGTACACCAACATTTAAAAGCTGGTAAGATTTTGTGTTTTTGAAAGTCTTGAATACCCATCAAGGCTGTGCTTATTTGATCAAATGCAGTAAAAACAGTAAAATTGTGAAATTTTATTACAATTAAAAAGAACTGACTTCTACTTTAAAATTTTAAAATGTAATTTAATCTTATGATGGCAAAGCTGAATTTTCAGCAAACATTAAACTAGCCTTCAGTGTCACACGATTCTTCAGAAATCATTCTAATATGCTGATTTGGTGCTCAAGAAACATTGCTTATTATGAATGTTGAAAACAGTCATGCTGCTTATTATTTCTCTGGAAACAGTGAAACATTATTCTCAGGAACATAATTTTTATTTTGTATGGTATACAAAGTTAATCTTACCGAGTGCAAGATTTTAGCATCTCAGCCAGAGAATCAGGAGAGAAGCCAGAACAGCCACACAAATTCAGTCGGACAATTTCAGTATTTTGAGCCAGAGAACTGCAAGAGAACAAAATACAGGTTCAAGGTCTTCATATTTTCATATGTAAATTTGCAAAAAAGATATAGTTAAATCTGCAGCTTTACATTCTGAAAGAATGTGAATGTTACCAGTGACTAATAACAATTAAAGAGCAGGTCATATGGGTTTTTGAAAAATATCTCTTTTGCAGTTTGTAAGGTAGCTATTCTTCAATGTAAACAGTCTGCAAAGCTGTTAATCAAAAAAGTGCATGATAAATAAAGATATTGTCTCTCAAAACAAAGAGTCGACTCAGAATCGCCTTAACGAGTCGTTAATATTTTCGAATCTTCTGCCTGTTACCGATCTACGTCACTGGGTAACACATTAGCATAATCCCCGCCTGCCCACGAAATACATTACAAACACTCCGTGTCGAGAAGATGCTGTGCTCCACGATACCACAGCAATACAATTCGAACCTTTTGTTGTGCTCGTTATTTTACCGAGGACTGCTTCTCTAATCTTGCCTTTTATCTTCGTTGGCTTTTAATCTTCTTGATTTGGACCAACAAGCTTCTCCAAACCACAACCTGTAACTACGATTGATATGTTATGTGTACATTTTCAATTGAGTGCTCAACATATCTAGTTTTTTTTTTGTGCTAATATGTGATCTATACCTAGAGCAGCTTTAGGTTTCCAGGTAAAGCACAATATTACGGTCTTACTGAAATAGTTCTGGTAATTCGCTGTGAACCCACTATTTCCTAAGAATGTGTCGATTAATGTAGACTGTCGTTGTTCTAATTACTTCGTTTAATAATAAAGAATGTAGTGTAGCACACAGACTTTATAATCATTGTGAAAGTGCTGTTAATGTAGTTATAGGGTTAATGCAAAGAGTAAAAGACCCGGTAGAGAGACAAGAGGCTGCTACGCATGTGATAAAGCTGTTCTGCGTTATAATTAAAGGTTAAGACACGGAGCGTCTTTTGTCTGTCGTTCTTCAGATATTACAGTAGACATATTTTGGTTTTCAAACTGTATTGTTTCATCAGGTAGTCACGTTAGCACAGGGCTTATGGAAAATAAACTTATGGCTTAACAGACATTTCGCTCAGAACTGAATCGAACGAACCGTTTCAAAATCATGGACAAATGACTATGTATATACGTATATTCTGTGAAAATTACAGTGTTTTCTGACCTTAGATGCATTTAAACCTGTTGTAGGGGACTCCAACACAATATTAGGACACTTAAAAAAAAACACATGACCTGCTCTTAAAAAAGAAGAATTATTTCTATATAAAATGTGTCATTTCTACACAATACATAAATAGAAATATATGCCATTATTATACATGATATAATAATGACATATTATATGAAATATATGACAGCTTGTTAGATTGACAGAGCACAGGAAAACTGTCAACAGCAAGAGTAGTTTTCTCCATGTCTTTCAACACAAAAACTAAATGCCGTTTGATTGGTTGTGAATAAAACACCTTTTGATTGGTCAATGTGTGCCGCTAACAAAAAAAATCTAGTTATGTTGTAGTGTGTAAAATGTCTTTTTGACTATCACTTACTGAATAATGCTTTCAGAGAGCACCAACCCTTCGAGACTGAGATTCTGTAGATGTTTGCAGTGAGACAGGATGTCTTCGAGAACAGACGTCTCCACTGTGCAGTTTGATAAATCCAGATGCTGGACACGAAGTTTCCTGTAATTCAAAATGCACTACATTTACAAACATAAGACAGCAACAACAGCAGCACTTACACAATAGGACTTTACTGTGGCACTGTGAAAACACGAATTACTCACTGTGCACATTTAAAACTGGGTTGAGCGATGCATGTGTGTGGACAGCGCAATCTCAAGGCACCAGCTGAGAGAACCTGCCCAAGCTCTGCATCTAACTGAGCCTTTCCCACCAGGTCCACACTGTGCCACAGAGACTCATCAAACCTGCAAATGCAGAGTTTTGACACTTATGATTTCCATCACAGGTGATCGGTGGTCTTCCAAACTCCAACTTTGTAATAGTGTATGAAGAGCTTACGCTAAACGATGCCAGCGCTTGCAGACATGTGACGTCCGGAGGAGATCTTGCAGTGAGAGACGAGACAGGATTCCCAACAACAGCTCATCAGGCAGACTGTCCCAACACAAGCCTGCTGAGGGAGGAACAAGTTAACAAATTAGGCTCTATTCTGCCCAAACAAGTCCATGTACATCTTATAAGCAATTACAATAATACAATTCAACAAAATTTTGGGGAGAAACAGTAAGTGGCCCCCAAAATGGAAGTCTACAGGGTATTGATAAGTTGTTTGTTCATGCAACTATGTCCCATTTACCTTTACAGCTCTTACACACAAAAAAGTTTCCAATCAGATATACAGTACTACATTAAACCTGTAAAAGCTTACATATGAAAAGATTAATAGAAACTTAAGACAAAACAGTAAAAGAAAATGTTTTTTAAAAATGTGTGTATTTTGTTACGCATACTACTATTTGATACATTAGGCTTTTATGGCTCATACAGTATAATATAATTAAAATATTAATCTCAGACTTGAATTATATTCAGAAGCCCTAAATAAACTAAATTATGTAATTTGGTGCTAAAAACGTAAGTCTGTTATGTAAAACAATTAGATTTTTTTTAACAGACTATTTACATAAATAAAGTGACAACATTTATATTCTCCAATAATATGTCTCAAGCCCTATTCGGACGGGACTAGTTTTCTAAACTACGTTTGAGTTTCGATTCTTATCACCTGACGTCTGCGATTTTCATGTACCAATTCGGACGGGACTAACATCTCCGTGTTTATTACAGAGGTGGGAAGGTCTGTTTTGTACATCTGGGCGTCACAGAGATCACGCGCTCATGCGTGCATTGCTTATAGTCATTCGGATTGATTACCATTAGTATAATCACAGTTTTACTACAAATACCATGGTGAAGCTAAATGGCTAGTATAGCAAAACCATGTTAATGTGTGGTTACTTTAGTTAAAAAAATTTTTTTGTAGTAAACCCATGTTTAATTTTCATAAAGGTACATATGTAGGCTAATTGAAACATTATGTAATTGAGTGCAGAAATGAACATGAGTAATCTTACCTGGCGCTGATATTACAATAGTCAGTCTTAACAGTTTACGTGATCTAGCACATGATTTTATTATTGTTATTTTATTTTCTTTGCCGGGAGGCAAATATATCAAACATGTGCGCAGTAAGACGGTTATTCACGTTGGCCAAAACACACAAGGAAACGCGTTGTAAAAAAAAAATATCACCGGCAATCACAGACATTCGCATTCGAACGGGATTAGTTTTCTCAGATGATCACTGGGTTTGATGAAAAACAGTAGGTAATTTGCTCTGGAATTTTTACAGGGGTTATGTGAGAAAAACACAGACTTGGCAGATTCGGACGGGATTAAAATCACCAAGTACGTCTGTGAAACACAAATTTCTCTAACGACCCCCTGTAAAACTAGTCCCTTCCGAATAGGGCTTTAGAAAGGTGATATTTAAACGCTTAAGTTTTATGATCAAAGCTCTGTAGTTTTTATTGTGGGGGCAAAACATATAATGCAAAACAATACAATGATAATTGAGACATGTAGAAATAAGCGGTCCCCAAAAGCCTAATGTATTTTATATTGTCTTTTTAAAATGATATTTCTGAATAATCATGTATGTATAAGTAAACCAAAGTTGCGTCAGACTAGAAAATGTTGACATCTGTTTTTGAAATAATAATAGTAAGATTTAAGTTCACATAATAAATAATTTCCAAATTTCACAGCACAAAGACAAAACCTGAAGGTATACATTTTTACAATTACAAAAGTATGATGTAATAATCAAAGGGCAGAAGGCAGATTACAACTTTTCAAGAAAATTTGTGATCACGATAGAAACACATGTATCAAATATAATACAGTAGGCTTTATATGGTTCAATTTCTCAGTCACAAACCTGATGATTCTCTTCTTTTCCTGGGACGTCTGGCAAGAACAAATACGTTTTCCTCATTTTCTTTCCCTTTTGCAGAAGTCAGGAACTTTTTGTGTGGAGGTGACCACTGCTGGATGAGCTCGTTTGGAGTGTTTTCTATGTCTAGACCCCCACTGCAGGAGGGCCGCCTTTTCCATTTACTCCTCTGAGGCCTGCACAGGGATCCCTCCAAATTCTCACTCAGTTCTTTAAACGGTCTACATAAAAACAAGGAAAACACTAAGCAACAGCAACCTCACCATTTCGTGTTGTTATAAGGATATATAGAGGTATAACAGCAGAAACCAATAACCGCGATCTCCCAAACCTAAGGATAAACAGTCCTCATTACATAAGTTCAACCTACAACAATTTTAAAAGGAAATAACACAACTTCTGACTACACAATACGCAATGGCTAATAACACATCGACACAATTACAGCTGTTTTTGATTGCTTGTATACTGTAAACTGCAAGCTCGTATCACAAGATCTGTGATGCCCGCCATTTGTGGCGAGTTAACTTACGTCTATACCAAAAATAGCCTCTATAATATCTTGTATTTTCGAAAATCAAAACGATATATTAACTAATGGAACCATTCAAAAGACTTAAAGAACTTGCGAAATTCTGATTTGCTTATATAAATAAATTATTAGAGAAAAAAATCGTCCTCGCGCGTTACAACACGATGGCGCGCGCCAACCACACATTCGACTACACATTCGACTAAGTTAAATGCATTTTTTAAAATGCGTCCAGCAGATCTTTGCACAACCGATCTAAAGTCATGTTTTAACAAATACGTTTATTATTGTGCACAGTGTTTTTTATAACACACCAACAAGTTATAAAACTTACAAAACACACCAAAGTGGAGGGAGAATCCAAATGTAGGTTAGTAACTTACACAGAAACACACTCACGTCAATAACATACATTTCAGGAAAATATGCGCAATGTAAAATGCAAATAATACTTGAGGTTTGGTAAATAACAATTGCATATTACCTTTCGTTTGACATCCTTACTTTGTAACGTTATTAGAAGTATTCACTTCTGCAAACTTTCCGATGCAGCAAGGCTTCCCCGGCGCATTTAAACCTGCCTCTGGACCGCTGTCCTGCCGCGATGCCATTGGCTCCAATGTAGGTCGCCGGAAGTGACGCATTCCTGACAGAGTAATGGAGGGACATCGACTTGCCGCCCTCTACTGTGGAGGACCATACGACTCTTTACACATCCAAACATGGAGTCAAGACAGGCAAAAATTAAAGGGGTCATATGATGCGATTTCAATTTTTCCTTTCTCTTTGGAGTGTTACAAGCTCTTGGTGCATAAAGAAGATCTGTAAAGTTGCAAAGACTAAAGTCTCAAATCCAAAGAGATATTCTTTATAAAAGTTAAGAGTCAACCACGCCTACCTAAAACAGCTCGTTCTAACACGCCCCCACATGTCTACGTCACTATGTGGGAAGATTTGCATAATGCCGCCCAAATGTTCACGCAAAGAAAGAAGCGTAACTTTTATGTTACGCCATGTTGTGAAGTGCTGTGCGTTTCGTTGTGAAAGCGAAACTACTTTGTTTGGCCTTCCAAAACGTTCACGTTTTCATTTAAAGGATTTGCCACTGATTATTCAAACGCGAGTTTTGAGTAGTGTAGAGTAGCGCTTGTTGTTTGTCATTTCTCCAATCACAAATGCAGACAGGGTTTTATGTTTACGCAGCGCGATGCAACGCAACGCGTAAAAAGACAGTATAAGTCATTATAATCAGTAATTATGTCCCCACTGGATGCAACAAATGCCTCGTTTGTAATGGGTTTTAATGTTTTTGTCTTGTCGCTCCGGCCGGGACACGGCATCAACAGTATGGTGAGGTGGTGTAACATTTCCGTCACATGCTTGAGGAATTTGGCCAATCACAACGCACTAGATAGCTGGCCAATCAGCGCACACCTCGATTTTTTAGAACGATGAGCTTTGTAAAAATCGACGCATTTCAGAAAGGCGGGGCATAGAGGAGAAACAATAAT